CATGAACCCTCTGGGTCCAGCGTCACCTGTTTGTAACAAATCCTGTCGCTTAATCAAACATAATCAGCCTCAGGTAGTTTATACCGTTTCGTCTATAGAATTCCATCACATTAGGACCAATAATGCCGATAAGAAAATTTGTCACTTAAGCAACGTCGAAAGAGGTCAAAAGGGCGTCCTTCGTTCCCAGTTTTCAAATCAGTAATGTTCAAATTACTCGGATATTTCATTTTATGTTATTTTTTTTAACAAAACAAAGCTTTTTTATTATTATTTTTTTTTTTGTCGGTAGGTGCGTCCTTAAAGGAACCTTGATTTTAATGCGGGTCTGAGCCGTTTCTAAATTTTTCCTTAGTTGTCATGACCAAAAACTTATACAAAAAAGTTAAATTTCCATTGCGTCATTTTCAAGTCATTGGTCGCAAAAGTTTATTGACCATTTGCACTAACCATGGTAAGTCAGCTTTGACTGTGCAGCTGTGGTAGAATGTCTAAGAACTGACCTTATAAACTATGAAAATTCCACGTTTATAAGCTATTACAAATCACCTTAAAAGAGTTATGTAAATTCTGATGTCAGTCGAAGAAAACAAGGAAAATCTGAATATCGAATAAACAGGGATAAAATAATCATTTTCAGAGCTAAACCAAACAAATAACTATTTCACTGCGTTATTCACATAATCCATTTTTTTCCCTGCAGGTTTCGCTTGTTTTTGATGAGCTGCATAGATAAATAACTGATTTGAACGAAAAACGAAGCAATGAAAGAGGGAAATACACGGACAAACGAACTAGGGTACAGACTCGAAATCGAAAGCGAGCGAGTGAGGAAAAGGAGGAATGAGCGAAAATATGAACCAACGAACGATCAAGCGTAGAGAACGAACCAGCAATTGAAAGCATTAGCTACAGATGCACAAATAGATACCGTAGGTAGGTAACCAATTCCTATATTGAAAAGGCAAACATTCTAGCTACCACTAATTGAAAGTATCAATTTGGACGTCATGAATATATATATCTGGACTGACTGCTTTGTTTTACCTTTTTCGCCTTTTTCTCCTGTTATTCCTTGATTTCC